AAGGAGGAGGCTGCAATGCTTGGTAAGAAATGTACGCATTATCCTGCCCATGCAATTGTAACCCCTCTGTACAGTATGTTCACAAATAAAATTAAAAATAAAAGAAAAGCAAAAGCATCTTCCTTTTGCAAACCGTACACGATATACTTGAGCATATTTCTAGACCTCTCAAGGCTTTGAAAAGGGCTCTTAAGTTTTAAACTCCAATGTAATAGTAACTTCTGTGCTTTTGTCTTTCTACCTCAGAAAAAACTAATATATTCTGACTTCTTAGCAAAGAATGAATGATTCACATGAGCCACCAGAGCCCAGCACAAGACTTCTTGGCAAGAGGAAATATGCAGTGTTCTATTTGGCTTTGGCTAGATAAGTAAGATTATTTCCCATCACTTAGTTGATGTACCATCCATTTGATTGCAATGGTCAGTCTTTTGTAGTGTCTTAAACTTCATTGCTGCATGTTATCAATTAGAATACCAATTTTGTGCTTGAACTTGGGGCCTGAGCACTATTGCTCAAGGCTAGAGCTCTACCACTTTGAGCTACAGTGAGTGCCACTTCTGGTTTTCTGTTGTTAATATTTAATTGTGTTAATATGTTTCCTGCCTGGACTGGATTTGAACTGCAGTTCTCAGATCTCAGGCTCCTGAGTAGCTTTCAGCGCCGGGCTCAAAATTTTATTTTGAAAGATAATTCCTTTTCCATGAGTCACTACTAGTATTTACAGTAGGAAACAGTGAAATATAGCTATCATACTTCCTGAAGCCATAATCAGGCAGTCAGGGGCTAGTTGTCAGAATGAAGCCTTCAGCTTCAAGAGCTTTGTTCACTGATGTCTGTCCACACAAAGCCAATTTCACTTGGACCACACTGCAGAGACATTAACTGCCATCACCTGGTTACTGCTGTAGCGCAGATCACCTTTCTACAGTACAGGTCTATGTTCTCTTAAGTTAGCAGTATATGGAACTGGAGTGAATTTTTCAGCTATTATGACAATGGAAATAAAGAAGTTTAGTTAAGAACTCTATTGTGGCCTTTCTTTAGTGGTATGTGCTGCAAGTTTTTTGCTTTGCAAAATTTTCTTCTCTTTTGCTGATGAAAGACAGTGAGTGCTAATAGCAGAACCAGGGTGAAGAAACAGCAGCAACTAAAAAATATCAGTGGTTTCTTCTGCAGGAGAAGGGAGCAGACAGTGCACTCTGTGCTGCTCTGAGTCTGTCTACATCCAGTTCCACTGTTCTGGGAAGGGAAGCCGTTGCTGCTGATCAGCTTGCTGTAAAACTCTGTGGAGGATTTAGCCTTGAAATCAGATGTGAAGAATCCATATCTGGGTTTAGATTTTTCTTCAGTCAGTTTAAATGCATAGTACCCTTTGATTTTGACCTTATCGATCAGGTATGCTGAAAAATATCAGAACCAAACATTAGTCATCACAAATGTATAATGAAGTGTCTTTGAATAAGTACTTCTTATTGAAACAAGCTAAGGCCATGTCTTTAAGAGTCATAATTCTCATTAAACACCCCATTGATGATCCCTATTAAAGGTGTGATATCGGATACTCATAATCCTCAATCACCCAAAATCTGTACTCAGGGCTGTGGCTCAAGTGGTTGAGCACTAGCTTTGAGCGCAAAAGCAAAAAAGCTCAGTGACAGCACCGCAGTCTTAAATTCAAGCCTCAGGACTAGCACCAAAAAGAAGAAAAATGCCTTCTACATTAATAACGTACACCTCTGGATATGTCTGTGAGGATGTCTCCAGAGGTAACCAGGGCTCTTCATTTAATCATTGAACCCATTGGGGTAGGGTGGAGGGGGAGCAGGAACAAGGTCACTGGGACATATATTTGGGACTGTGTTTCCCTCTCTCTCTGTACTCTCTTTTATTCCCCTCTCTGTTCGGTGTCTATCATGAAAATACCATGCTGCCATGATATTCTGCCTCCCCATGGACCAGGAAGGGCCAGCCATGATGGCCTAAAACCTTTAAAACAGCTTAAGAAAGTAATCCCTCCCAGCTGCCAACAAACAAAAACAGCTCATCCCTTAAATGTTTCTCCTAGGTACTTGGTGAGAGGAACAGTAAAACTGGCTAACACCAACGGTGAAGATATGTACAATTTAGTTTTAGAAAGAAAGTTGAAGCAAAAAATGCTTTAGTGGTACTGGTGTTTGAATCAAGCTCCTCTGCCAGCCCCCTTTGTGTGTGTATGTGTAATTGTTTTTTCTTTTCTTTCTTTCTTTTTTTTTTTGAGATAGGGTAAGATAGGGTCTTGCTTCATGTGCTATTTGTACTCACAAATAGGATCATAGTCCAGGGACCTTCTACATTATTTGGATGAGAGGTGTATGACAACATGTCCATCCATTAGTTAAAATGGAGTGTTATTAAAAAAACAAAACTTTTTTTTTTAAGGCTGGCTTCTAATCACACTTGCTTGATTTCTTCTCCCCAAGCAGTGAGGATTAAAGACTTGAGTGACTGTGCTTGATTGAAGTAAAAATTTTTTTTGTTTGTTTTTTTGGGTCCGGTCATGGGGCCTGAACTCTGGGCCTGGGCGCTGTCCCTCAGCTCTTCAGCTCAAGGCTAGCAGTCTACCACTTGAGCCACAGCACCACTTCTGGCTTTTTTCTTTTTGCTTATGTGGTGCTGAGGAATTGAACCCAGGGCCTCAGGCATGCAAGGCAAGTGCTCTACCACTGAGCCACCTTCCCAGCCCTGATTGAAGTAAAATTTATCCATGAACAAAAATGTAAGAGAGAATAGCAAATTTCAGATTTTGAAGCTGGTGGCTCACACCTATAATCCTAGCTACTCAGGAGGCTGAGATCTAAGGATTATGGTTCAAAGCCATCCTGGGCAAGAAAGTCTGTGAGACTCTTATCTCTGATTAGCCACCAGAAAACCAGAAGTGGCACTGTGGCTCAAGTGATAGAGAGCTACTATCCTTGAGTGAAAGAACTCAGGGACAGTGCCCAGACCAAGTTCAAGCCCTATACAATGAGCGGGGAGGGAAGATGGTGAAGCCAGGTGCTAGTGACAGCACTCCTCACTACTCAGGAGGCCTAGATCTTAAGGATTGCAGTTGAAAAGCCACCCTGAACAAATAACCACCAAAAGCCAGAAGTGGAGCTGTGGCTCAGCTGGTGGAGCATTAGTCTTTGTTTCTTTTTCTTTTTTCTTGCCGGTGGTGGGGCCTGAACTCTGGGCCTGGGCCAGAGCTGAACTCTTCAGCTCAAGACTGGCACTCTACCACTTGAGCCATAACACCACTTCCAGCTTTTTCTGCTTATGTGGTGCTGAGGAATGGAACCCAGGGCCTCATGCATGCAAGTTAATCACTCTACCACTGAGCCACCTTCCCATCTCTAGAGCATTAGTCTTGAATGAAAAAGCTAAGAAACAGCATCCAGGTCCTGAGTTCAAACTCCAGTAGGGACACACAAAAAAAGAAGGGCTGGAAATGTGGCTTGGTGGTAGAGTATTTGCCTGGCATGCATGAAGCCCTGGGTTCGACTCCTCAGTACCACATAAACAGAAAAAGCCAGAAATGGAGCTGTGGCTCAAGTGGTAGTGTGCTAGCCTTGAGCAACAGAAGCTCAGGGTCAGTGCTCAGGTCCTGAGTTCAAGCCCCATGATGGGCAAGAAAAAAAAATCCCAAGCAAACAAAAATTATGTAGCTGGAAAGTCTATGAACACCCACACTGCTGCATTTTCATGGAAAGGAAAAAGATGAGAACCCCATCCCTCACTGTAGCTGAAGACCTGACATGCCCCCCACCCCACCCCAAATGAACCCAGCCTGACCTTTGAGCGCCTCCTGCAGGTAGGTCTGCAGGTAGTACTTCCGGAGCCGGTCGTCGTGGGGCGCCGGGTCGTCGATGCCGCTGGCCGTGATGTGGACGTCCAGGTCTCCGTAGCGGCGGCGGACCCAGCGCAGCAGCCGGCGCGCGCCGCGGGGCTCCACGGCCAGGCGCGCGGGGGAGCTGGGCCGGGTGATGTCCTGCAGGAACTGGAGGTCGCGGTCGGCGTGGGCGCGGCCGCCGCCCCGCTGCGGCTCGTGCAGCACCAGGCGGGTGGTGAAGTGGTTCAGCGCGCAGAAGTCGGCGGCGCCCCGCACCAGCCTGCGCTCGGCCGCGCTCAGGACGGGCAGCTGCGAGCTGGACAGCCCGCGCCGCGCCTTGGCGGCGATGTACTCCCGCATGGCCGCCGGGTAGTCCCCGGTCTTGAACAGGGGATCTGCGAACCAGGCGATCTCGAACTGGAGGAAGCGCTCGGCCGCCTGGCGGTGCGAGTCCACGTAGGGGTTGGCGGGCTCCGCCCAGTCCGCGTGCAGCGACAGGGACACCAACCCGCGCTGTGCCGGCCTGTAGCGCTGGTCGTACAGGTGCCAGACCCCGGCGTGGGCCATCAGCAGGTGGTGCGCCGCCCGGTAGGTGTCATTACTGGTGCGGTTGTAGATGTCGCTCAGCCGGTTCGGCTCATTGATGGTGACCCAGAGTTTCACCAGGTCCCCCAGCTCCTGGAAGCACAGCCCGGCGTAGTCCCGAAAGGCCTGGGCGGTGGAGGGGCTCAGCCACCCGCCACGGCGCTGGAGAGGCCCTGGGAGGCCCAGGTGGGCATGGGTGGGGTAATACAAGGTGACCATGGGGGAGATGCTGAGCTTCAGCCCCTCGCTGACCACACACCTGTAGTACCTGAGCACTTGTCGGTTAATGACAGACAGGTTGCCCGTGGGGAGGATGGAGGCCCAGTCTAGAGCAAATCGGTAGTGCGTGACTTTCATTCTGGCCAACATCTCCAGTTGTTTTTTGATGCTCACAAAGTCTGTGCACTGGGCCGGCCGTGTTTTCAACTTTATGCCTTCCACGCGGTGCAACAATCTGTTTCCGGTGGCATTCCACACGTACAGGTGCGGGTCGGTAAATTGGGGGGAGGAGGCCATGAACTCGGGCTGCAAGACAGGCACAAGTCAGATGAACACTGGCTGCCACCTGGGGTGCTTAGCATGAAATCCTGCCAGAGGAAGAAGGGCATGATCCCATTCCGCCTCTCCCTACGAGGGAAAATAAAATGAGGCATGCATCCTTCAAAACGACTTGTGTGTTCCGGTTATTTTATCCTGGTGAGGTCAGAGAAAAGGCTTGATGGATAATTCTCCCTTCCAGCCCTTGGAATCTCCAGGGAGACCAGGAAATACCGTGAAGGGTTGGCTTGGAAAACAAGTTGAGAAAAAGACTGAAAAATCATTTTCCAGCTCATTTGACCTAAAAACCCAGGTTGCTGTATAATCTTATAGCCTGCATTTACATAGCAGGTTCTTACCTGAGTTTGTTCAAATGCATCAGGAAATTAGCTTAGTTGCCTCAGTAAAAAGCATTTATAAAAGATGGATTCTAAGGGGCTGGGAAGGTGGCTCAGTGGTAGAGCTCTTGCCTTGCATGCATGAGGCCCTGGGTTTGATTCCTCAGCACCACATAAGCAAAAAGAAAAAAGCCAGAAATGGCGCTGTGGCTCAAGTGGTAGAGCACTAGCCTTGAGCTGAAGAGCTGAGGGACAGCACCCAGGCCCAGAGTTCAGGCCCCACGACCGGGACCCCCCCCAAAAAAAGAAAAAGATGGATTCTAAGCCTTATCATAAATTTGAAGACAAAGGAGAATTCCCATCATAGAAGAGTTCACTGAGATCAGTAGTCAGGTTGACCCTTGCCATGGTTCCTAAGAGAGGCTGGTGGGTCAGGGAAGGCAATGACCTCCCTTGTACTTGCAGAAGGCAACTCTTAAAACCAAGGGACAGACAGCCTGGTGCTGGTGGCTCACATCTCTAATCCTAGCTACTCAAAAGGCTATCTGAGGATTGTAGTTCAAAGTCAGACTGGTCAGGAAAGTCCATAAGATTCTTTTTTTTTTTTTTTTTTGGTCGGTCGTGAGGCTTGAACTCTGGGCCTGCCTGGGCGCTGTCCATCAGCTTCTCAGCTCAAGGTGAGCACTCTACCACTTGAGCTACAGCGCCACTTCCGGTTTTCTAGTGGTTTATTGGAGATAGGAGTCTCACGGTCTCTCCTGCCCAGGCTGGCTTTGAACCGCGATCCTCAGATCTCAGCCTCCTGAGTAGCTAGGATTACAGGCGTGAGCCACCAGCGCCCGGCTTCCGTAAGATTCTTATCTTCATTTAACTACCCCAAACAGCTGTAGCTCAAGTGGTAGAGTGCTAACCTTGAGCAAAAAAAGCTTAGGGACAGGGCTGAGGACCTGAGTTCAAGCCCCAAAACCTGCAGGGAGAAATAAAAGAAAAAGACTAAATGACATCCTATTTGCATTCATTATCTTTCCCAACCATGTGCCTGTGAAATCATAGTATTTATTCATCCAACAAGAGACCATAGAATGTTTTCTCTATGCAAGAACAGACAGTAAAATGACCTGGAAACTCTCAAGTCTGACTCTTGAATCTCAGTCTCTGCCTCTCCATCCTGGAGATTCCTATCCTAATCTTCCCCCTTTGAATTCATGCTGGACAAATGTTTAGTAGCAGTGTCATGTCGCCCAGCATTCAGGCATGTGATGAGCACTTGATGTTCCAGGAAAGTGGTCTGTTAAAGCACTGGACAAACAAGACATGACTTAAGGTTAGTTTTTCCTGGTTACAATAATTGCCTATTATGTCCTTGTGTCCAAACTAAAAGAGAAACATTTCCAAATTCAAGATTAATAAGAGTAAGTAAAAATTATGTGTTTGTGTTGATGTACTGTTTCTTCTCATGATTCAATTTAAATACAGCAGAAAAAATGATAATTAACCTTTTGTAAATATTTTACCCCTAATTGTTTTCTCTTCTGTCATCTTTCATAGTCTTAATTACAAAATCATATAACTGCCCACCTGCCATCTGTCAGCCAGTTTATCTAGAACATTAAGAGAACATTGATCATGTAAGCATAAAGTTAAATCTTTATAAGCCAAGTGCTAGTGACTCATGCCTGTAATCCTAGCTACTCAGGAGGCTGAGATGTGAGAATTCTAGTGCAAAGCCAGCTCAAGCATACAAGTCTGATGAAACTTGTTTTTGTTGTTGTTGTTGTTGTTGTTGCTTTTGGCAGTCCTGGGGCTTGAACTCAGGGCCTGGGCATTATCCCTGAGCTTCTTTTTGCTCAAGGCTAGCACTCTACCAATTGAACCCACCACTTCCGGCTTTTTTTGCTTATGTGGTACTGAGGAATTGAACCCAAGGCTTCATGCATGCTAAGCAAGCACTCTACCATTAAGCCACATTCTTAGCCCCTGATGAAACTCTTATGCTCAATTAACCAGCAAAGGGCTGAAACTGGAGGTATGGATCAAGTGGTAGATTAGCAAACTCAGGGCCCTGAGTTCAAACCCCAGTGTTGCAAAGAGAGAGGGAAAAAAAGGAGAATAAAACACAGAAGATGATAGGGAGAGAATTCACCATATCTGGCTGGGAATACTTTATTTCAGCCTTTTTGAACAAACATTAGGAAAAGGTGAGGAGTAGAATGTCTGGAGAAATTCCACTAGGACACAGAGAGTTTAGGAGTAAAGATAAATTATGTAGATCTATTCACTACTTAAATAAAGGGCTAGTCACAATTTGCTTTTGGCTCAAAAATCTGTAAATATTTTTTCTCTATAATTTTCACACTCTAAACAAATGTCTCACTTGGAAATGGTTGTAGGGCTGGGAATGTGCCTTAGTGGTAGAGCGCTTGCCTAGCATGCATGAAGCCCTGGATTCGATTCCTCAGTAGCACATACACAGAAAAAGCAGGAAGTAGCACTGTGGTAGAATGTTAGCCTTGAGCAAAAGAAGCTCAGGAACAGTATCCAGGCCCTGAGTTCAAGTTCCAGGACAAGTTAAAAAAAAAAAAGAAATGGTTGTAAGTTCCCTCTGAACTGTACCCGCCTGGAAGACAGCCTCTTTATGTCTTCATCTCCATTATCAACTGTAAGTTCTGGTCTAGGGCAATATGTGAGAAAGCATTGATTCCCGTGCTGCTCTCTTCCTCTTCCCCAGTTCCTCTTCATAATTTCTTTTTTTTTTTTTTTCTGTAGGTCGTGGGGCTTGAACTCTGGGCCTGGGCGCTGTCCCTCAGCTCTTCAGCTCAAGGCGAGCGCTCTACCACTTGAGCTACAGCGCCACTTCCAGTTTTCTAGTGGTTTATTGGAGATAGGAGTCTCACGGTCTCTCCTGCCCGGGCTGGCTTTGAACCGCGATCCTCAGATCTCAG